AATCTTGACTGTGTTTGTATGAGCGCGTAGGTGGGTGTGCACTTCTTATCCCATTACTCATCACATGTCTGTAACTTATCTTTGTGTGCCTATAAATATTGATTAACGCTTGACTAAATGAGAATCGGTTTACCCGCCATCTCCACTCTGCATCGTTTCTCTTCTTTATACCATTCGCTTCATTTACAAAATATATGTATTCAGAAGTCCATTCTCGTTATTCGACTTGTCTAAATCCGTTATTGACTAACGCGATTTAAGTCGATGATTACATACGAGGACAGGCAAAATATATATTTCAATAAAAATCATTCATACGATCAAATGGGAATCAGACCTCATGCCACTAAAGTGGAAAGCCCGTCAACAAACATCGTCCGATCTAATGACGACGAAATAAAGGGCTCCACAAAAAGTCTTCATTAGGATATAACAGTAACCCAAACAAAACAAAAACACTTTTAAAAGAAGTTGTTCTTTATATGTACAAAGACAATACTTTTCTCATATGATAGCTGGCTGATATGACTATTGATGTTCACAACTACGCACACATTGAAGCTGAGATTGTTTTAAATCTATATTGTAATATAGTTTCATGATCACCATGTCCGGAAATCGAATACATTTACTTTTTGTTTTCAATTCCAAGTTTGTATTAGAAGGTAGTTTTACAGCTCTCCAATCGATATTCTAATACCTAACGACTATAAATATCTTCTAGTTGGTGAGATTAAGAAGAGTGATCATCTAAATAGTGTCTATCACAACTCATGTATTTCGGTACAAATATTTGTTTAATATTTATACAAATTACAAGTGTATGTATTTAGGTTTAAGTCACAAGTCATTTGGGAGCTAATAATGCAGTGAGTGATGACTTGGTGGAGTGAACTAATTTATTGTTTTAAGCAAAATAACTCAGTACCTTTGTAGGTTATGAGAATTAGGCATTAAATACATCATCTACATATTATCCTTCAATTGTCCTTTACATATTCCACCATTCTCCTAATCATTTTGTTATTACGATTTCACTCTGTTTTCCTTCTTGTTCTTTTCATTTCGACCTTCTGCTGGTAAGTATTCCACTTCCTATTCTTGCTACACACTACTTATATCTATCCACACTACAGTACTTCTGTGCTTCTTAAACTGCACTAGCCTTGCGCGGAGATTGAACCTGTGACTTCTTTTTTCGGAAATCAATTACTTTGGTCGCTGATCAAGATGAATATCAAAATTTCGCATGATTCTTGCCGATAGTATAGTGAATTAGTAAGCTAGGCATCACGACAATAGTCAGTATTCCATGCACTAATTATATTGACGAAATCAACATCGTATAAACAATTGACATGGACACCATGGCTACTGAAATTGTCACGAGTATAATAATAGACAAGTCACAACATGAAGTAGTAGCAGTTAATAAAATGTCACAGATACGAGTCTTCAAAACGAACTTGGTGAACATGGCTAATAAGTCCATATGTGCGAAAGAATTATATGGAATTAGTCATCATTTGTATGCTGACTGTTCTGAATAATATACAATCTATACATTTAATGTAGTAGGATTGTCAAACACAGATACACAAGAATTCATTTACATCTATAAGTGTACATAGGTAGGTAAAGGTTTTGAACTGATTACATGAATAAACAGAAAATAACGAACACTATCACAATTACTCATTTTTACCAAAACAAGAACAACACCGATGGAAAAAATCTAATGAAATTATATATAGGTGTGTCTTATTCTTTTTTAACAATGACCAAATGGATAGGTCAGCAATCTGAGTCACCACAGTATCAGGATATTACAGGCTGTTGATAAGTACCTAACACGAAAATGTATACTTCCTAGGAATGAGTCAGTGAAATAACCATAATCACTTCACTTGGTATTGTTTACTTGAATCTTCCCATTGTTGTTTAGGTTTGCAATTTATCAGTGTCTTATTGACATATGTGCTTACTGTGCGTATCGCCTCGATACTGCCTTAATTCACAAGCAAAGATGGGGCGAAAGGTACTGAGTTCGAGCCCCATAGTGGAGATCAATTTTAGGGTGGAGGTACACCCACCTGACGAGTCCCAAGTAGAACAAAACGTGCGTCCTGGACCCCACTGCTAGCTACTATCCATCTTTGCATACAATCTTAATCAATGACTGAATATCTTAAGCGATATGACTAAAAATTAGTTACAGTGAAACAAACGCATTCACTAAATTGTTTTTAATCTTATCCTAAATCACAAGTGAGGTATTATTCGATTACTTCTATAATATGAGTGTAACATATGAACGAGATTAACGCAGCCGCGATCATCTCTCAGCTAGTTTATAGCTAATCCGAAACTAGATTTTGTAGACTGATTATGAAAAAGAAAAGTGATATTAATGTGTAAACATATTTTACATGATGAATCTACTGTTCTTTGATAAGTTACTCTGCACTTAAAACTGAAGGAACAGTAAGAATCCATCCTTGTGGATATCGATTTTTGGTCTTCTCAAACCTTTATAAAGACTCAAATAGGCTTTTTAATTCCCTGGATTGTTCTTAGGGATAGGTATTTAGAGTAAGGATCAGAGTTAGTTTTCATCACGAACTAACACCACCTACAACGCAATAATGTACTGTAACCATATGAATGAATTTCGTGCACAAAAACAAAACGTTACTTTATTAGTTCGTTCGAGAGATATAGTAACACCAAGCTAAGGTTTATTTCAAAATTAAAAGTTAGTGTCGAATAAACTTACGCTGCCCCGAGTCCTTCTATGGTTATCAGATGTCCTTATCCCAGATAAAGTTGCATGGTTGGAGATGCGAATAACGACCTTGTACCCTAGGAAATAATCCTGTTGAAAAACGCCGATCAGTGGGATAACCACTCACGTACAATCAATCAGACAGAACTGAGTATTCGATACGCTTAATATTATCATTTTTAGCCTATGGTAGTGTTAGCGGGACATAGACTAGACTAAAGCATGCTCAATGCATGATTGCTTTGGTGCACGCTGATTGGCTAATTCTTATCCAATCAGCGCTAGTCGATAGTTGGAGAATATTCTGGATTCTTCTTATGTAAAAACTATAAATATACCGACGTTTTCCCCTATTGTGCTTCCTACTGGCTTCTGACTTGCTATTTGGAATATAATCTTTTTCCTGTTCAACCGTGTTCTGATTTGGGGACTTGTCGAGTGAATCGGTGTCCGAGAATACTAAGCAATAGGAATAGCTGGGTCATTAACCGTAAGAAACAGAGATTATAACAGTGGCGACGGGGAAAAACTAAAGAAAAATGGCGATTTCTTTAGAACAGTTGCGGTTAATATTACAGCACCAGCAGAAGTTGTTAGCCTTGCAACAACAACTATTGAGCACACTTTTCACTCGACCAGAAAATAAGAAATCTGTTTATGATGCAGTAACAGACATTTCAGAAGCATATCTAGTGGAGGGTTCAAATCCCTTTATACCTGAATCAGAACGTAATATTTGTAACGTGTCCGGCTCACAGCAAGAAAATACTGTGCTGAATGCACATGAAGTTGTGACAATACCAGATGATCAGGAGTCAGGTCCTGTAGATGAAGCCCGGAGTCCAGAATCAAATGAAACACTACTGGTACTGTCTAGCTGCGAAAATAAACGTCAGCTCGAACAAAATTGTGGTCCACGTGCTATTAGTCGAGAAAGCTATGGTGACTCGTATTCAAAAAATAACTGGAGCAACACGATGAACCAAATAGTACCAGATGTTACTCAAAATCACCGGAAGACAGAATTTCATATTGAGTCAACTTATCCCATTTCTAATGACAGTGTACCAGATATTGATTCTCAGAATAATGCATATGATTTTGATGAACCTTCTTATAACAATGAGGGAAATATGTCAGCTGAGTCGAATGATGGCCAAAAATCTAATCTAATTCTGTTAGACGTTGACTTTCTTAATGACTCGTTATCAGCTAACGAGATTCATAATGAATTTGAAAATAATGAACTCAGATCAAAGGTTGTTCATCATCATCTAGTCATTTTTAGTGGATTCTCCAGTCAATACGAGAAACATGGTTTAAATAAAGTCCTACTAGTTATAATTTGGAGCCATAAGGACCCAACATTATTTCGAGGAGGAGGAGAATGTTGGAGAATTAAAAGTTATGCATACTTTTTTTTAAGAAAAATCAAAACGCCGGGAACAGACATGTCAGTCTCTGTGCAAGGAAAAAGTGATAATTCTTCATTGCCTAGACGATGGACTAATCGAAAGCACAAGCCAGTCACTCAGTTGCAGTTGGACCCTAGCACCAGATCCTACGAATTTGCTCAGAGGGGAGGTGTTAGCGGGACATAGACTAGACTAAAGCATGCTCAATGCATGATTGCTTTGGTGCACGCTGATTGGCTAATTCTTATCCAATCAGCGCTAGTCGATAGTTGGAGAATATTCTGGATTCTTCTTATGTAAAAACTATAAATATACCGACGTTTTCCCCTATTGTGCTTCCTACTGGCTTCTGACTTGCTATTTGGAATATAATCTTTTTCCTGTTCAACCGTGTTCTGATTTGGGGACTTGTCGAGTGAATCGGTGTCCGAGAATACTAAGCAATAGGAATAGCTGGGTCATTAACCGTAAGAAACACAGTTATAACAGGTAGCAAACAGTAATTTTTCGCTACCATTTTGAGCGATATACAAAAGTACTTCTACCACTCATTATACATGATATTTGAATTTTGCTCAGGAACTCAAAAGTTACACTCTAGACTCTGATTGGCTCGCCACGATACTATAGTTTTCTTGCTGTCATTGTTTAAAACCGGTTTTTTTTTTTTGGAGACTTTTCCTGTATTCTTAACATTTCATTAGTCCGTAACGCCTTTGAAACCTTAAATCACCAACTTCTAGTTTCGGTTATCAGATTGTCTCAATCTCGAACTTGTGTTATCTACAATTGTTGCCAAATGTATATGTAACCATATATTATTATTACAAATTGCATTTAGTGCAATACTTTGAAAACATTTAGTTAACATATATTGATATGAGAAAGATTGGTTGAAAAAAAGAGCAAGTAATCTGTCTACATACATATACAGCACTAACAAGCAAACAAAAAAGATATACAGCTACTCGAAGTTCAATTGGTATCTTCACAATTCATATAAAAATACAAAGATAATACACAGGGAGGTATATGTTTTTTTTTAAAAAAAGGTGGAGAACAGGAAGGAAACAGGAAACTCTCCAGATTACAGTCAATAAACAGGTAAACATAAAGAGATACACAGTGTATGTATATACATACTCGATTAAGTAAAACATGAACAGGCCTAACAAGCAATTAAATGAGTTATGAACTGGAAATCAAGATAAACTGGAATATAGTTTTTCTCTTCAAATAAAGAACTATGGTTACATATAAGAAGAAAAAGACGCATTGCAGTCATGTATGATGCATAGATCTCTCTTCCTGAACCCGATGGTTTATTCCATGGACTCTCTAAACTTATCCACATCAGCGCTATCTTTTAAATTCAATTGTTCATTAAATGTATTAGTTGAGATTTCAGGAGAATCACAAACTACAGTCTCATTATTACCAAGAACACTATCATTATCACTATCATGACTATATAAATTAGTTGTTGAACTTTTTTGAATTTCTTCATTCATTCTTTTAAGATTTGATTTAGTTGATAGTAAACAAGGTGTTGTTTTTGAATTATTTAACAAATCATTTGTATTCTCTATATTTTCTGTTGATAATCCTGTCTTCAATCGTGTACTACGTGCTGGATTAAAATGATTACAATAACAACAACGAAATGCTAAGAATAGGCAGTTGTGTAGTCGAGATATGACAGTGTGGAAAAGGGGAAAGAGATGAAAATTAAAAAGAAGAAAAGATCATTGTAAAGCATAAATAAGTATATATTAAAAAATTGTAAATGACGAGATAATAGTGGCCCTAAGATGTAAGGACATAATTTAGTCGGAAAATACCTAGAATTCAGTTAGTTACAAAGTACTTTTTTAAATAATCAACACGAAAGTGCATATTTTAAGAACTGGACTCTGATATTATAAGATTTCTAGATGGGCATTGGAGATTTATACCATAAAAAGGGGATTAGAATGGTGGTGTAACCTTTGGGTTGAATGGTCTCAGCATGAAGTTCTGATGTAATGAACGAATGTTGGGTAAACCAATTTATTGTATTACGCAAAATCACGAGCTGCATTTGTAAAATATGAAAATGATACGTTGAATGCATCATTTGTACATCGTCCTTAAATTGTCACTTACAAGTTCCATCGTCTTTTCATTCCTTTTACTACTTGAACTGCATTTGCTTTTTTTTCTCTTTTCCTCTTCTATATGTAAGAATCCTACTTTCAAATCTCGGCACCTACTACTTATATCTGCCCGTATACGCAGCACACACCACATCGATTGTATTAGTAAACAACATCATTCATCAACAGCGTAAACTTCATAGTAAAGTGATAGAATGAAATTTCCCCACAAATGACTACTAATATCTTTTACGTTTGAAATGAAGTTTAAAGTTAGTTGTCAATAGTGGTGCTAATGATATTTACAAATTGACATTGTTCTTTTACTCAATGATTGATAATAGGTTGAATTTAAATGTTTACTAATTAATATATAACATAGACTAGTTCAGTGGTTGAAGCCATCGACTTTTGACCAATGGAATGTAGGTTTGCAAACTGTTTCGGTTATTTTCATCTATGAATCCAGTAGATATTCCTATCCCTACCCTAAACACAGTCAAAGCCATTCCATGATGTGGACTGTCTTTAAATCATGTGATCACCGCCTTATCATTCTAATAATATTCATTCTCTTGGTAGTGACTTTGAAAGTAAATTAAGGATTCCTAGTAGGAAACCGCGACTAGTACAGTATAACTATGTCCAAAATGAAACAGTTATCAACAGTATAATTGAATGATGATCGTGCAATATTCTGAACTCAATTAATTTAGAAATACGGAACATTCTATGATGTATTGGTGGTTTAAATGTAATGTGCACGATGAGAGATTTTATTTTCCATCTCCGGCTAAATGGTACGTCCATAATAAGGAGCCTAAATTTTGAGATAAAACATTATTTTTGCAGGTTTTCAATGTTTATTAGTCTGTGGTTTACGCTACCTTCGTATGATTAAATCAGGTAACACTACATGTTTTAAGATAGTAGTACAATCTAAATCGTTACTTACATGAATTGGGATTCGAAATAACTGGTGAAAAGCTGATCTTTGGTTACTTTGGGTTTATTTAATTACATTTTACACATAGGCAAGCGTGTTTTCTATTTTTTTTAAAAATTAGTTCCTACTTCCACATGAAATTACATTGGTTTCCTTTAATAATCAAGCATAAGTTCAGCTGGTTATTCATCATCTATAACTTTACAACTATTCTATCTTAACAGTACCAGATCGAAGAAATGTCAAAAAATTAACGGTATTTGATAGAGAACAAAATGGTATTCAACACTTTACAAAAAATTATATTATTTGAACTGTTAGTAAACTAACCTAAATATTCAAATTCTTCCTGTAATGCCATTCCATTGTGTGATGAACATTCATTACAAATTAGTGCAAATCGTTTATCGGGACCATCACCAACTAATGCATCTAAAACTTTATCAATAATTGAACGTTCTCTAGGTAAAAGCGGTCTTAATAACCGCGGTTTTTTAGAATACAGTGTTTGATTACTCCCGACCATAGGGGTACTCGACTGTGCAGTTAAACTTGAACCTATTTAAAAGTCATTGGATTGCAATGAATTATATACAATCTCGTTTATTGTATCTGATTATTTTTATATTAATAGTTTGTATATAAGCATGTTATTTCATTACATACTCTATAACTGTTGGAAATGTGAAATCGGTAAATCAATATCGATTTAAGGTGAATTTAAGGTCAACTTTTAATACATTTCCACTATGCTACTTCATGAACTATTAATGTATTTTTACTATGATTTGTGTTTAGTGATGATTACTGATTAATACAGACGTAGTTTGTATTCCCCATTTTTTGGAACCTTCACCATAACGTCTTCCTTTCAAGACTTCTCTTTTCTCTATTTTAACCACGAAGATGCGAACCATCGTAGAAGTGGTGTGTATTAGACCTCCATCCTGATTAGGTTTGAGCAGCTGAGGAGTATCCCCAGACCACATACAAACTCAATTATTTGTGTGGCACGTATATATTTTAGTGCCTCCTTGGTACCAATGTTTATGTGCTTAAATAAACAAATAAACAAAAATCGTCGATTATACCCAATTTGCATAGATCTTGTTCCGTATAGCGGAATTAGTTCAACCATCTTACTTCAGCCCATAACAACAACAATAGGAATGGAGATAAAAATTGATCATCAAACTGAATAAATGAAAACCACTATGCATCCAGTCAATGAAATCAAGGACAGAAATTATTAAAATTGAAATATATGTCACTAACTCGAACCAAATACAGCTCAAAATGTATTGTAGATGGGGATATGAATTTATGGGATTACATTATCAACCCAATGATTGTTGATTTGACCCAACCGAAATTCGTCAAATTCTATCTAGAAATTGATCTAAATGGGAAGTACAAACTAACACTATCACTTATCCTACGTGACCATAAGTATTTTTAGACAGTTATTTACTGGACTTATTTTTCGTCATGAAGCCCAGATACTGATTGTTGGTTCGACTTGCCTTAGTTTACAAAATTGATGATTTTGAAACCGTGCGTTGACAGTTCAGTCATTCACAATCAATGAAGAGCCTGGTACAAAAATGCATCAGCCCAAGTTAGCTATAGCATTTGATTTTCCGTTAAGAGATTTCAAGTGCTAATTTCGTTTAGTAATTGGAGTAGGATTGCCATACCTCACAATAGCAGTATGACCCAATGCCGAGTGTATTGGGATGGAATTGGTAAACCAACTATAATGACTTGTAATGATTGATAGACAAGAGTCATAAATAGGATAGATGAAAAGTCTCACTGTTTATCCAACCAAAATGGGGTGTTACGCTAACTAGCAATTTTGTTTGCAAGAACTATCTATTTAAATATGTGGTGCGAAAATCCTTGATAAATTAGGGCTAAATAAAATGAAATTACACTTCTGTCAAACGGAAACAATAACATTATATCATGCTGAAGACGAAAATATTATCAGTCAGTCAGTCAGTTATACGGAGTGTAGAATCTGACATGTGTGCATCGGACTAAGTTGGCATACTACATTAACACGTCCAGATAGTTATTTTAACACAAGTCCCAGAGTAGCAGCAGAAATAGAAGGCTAGGAATAGAAAATGAAAAAAGGTGTAGGATTTCGGGACAAAGAATCTAAAGGATGACAAGGAGAATACACCTGTACCACCAAGATAAATCAGTAGCCATATCACAAAAAATCTCCAAACCTTGGTTACCGTAATCATGCTGACCCCGATCAGGCAGTTTGCACCTGTTACCGTGGCTCAATCCAGTTGTCAACCTCTTCACGAACTGGTGCTACGTCTCGGTCTGACTATTTTTAGATTCCTTCCAGACTACTATATCGGACAACATTGCTCGTTGAGGTAAGCGGTGGTTGTAAATACGTAACACATCTCCCAAACACCTTAGTTGATGGAAATCCACTACCTAGTATCCTATGTCTAACCTCAGCATCGATCCCAAAATAAACGAACGATGCTGCGAAGACACGATCGGATACGAGTAACCTATGAATATCCCCTCTTCTTAATGGCTATGTTTCACGCCCATAAAATAGAACAGAGCAAACTGCTTGGTAGTTAACTCATCTTTTTTGATTGGGGAACATATATCTCACCTACGCAACAAGTGGAACAAGCTTCCAAAAGACAACCGAGCTTTCTCAACTTTTGCCCGGATTCCGTCAAACTATGTTACTTAAACTGATGTAAAGTATACTTAACATTTTATATAAAATTGCACATCTGTACTAGGCCATGAGCAGTATCTAGTGTCAAGGATCAGAATGAATCTTTTGTCAACAACCATTCTAAAAACCTTATAGGTAGATTTTTTGGTCAGATATGAAACTGGACAGTTAAACAAAAAAATCACATTCCTGATGACATAAAAACAAGATACTGTCACCATTTTACACCATAATTGTTTTATCCGTTAATGCCTTCTGGATTTTAATCTTTGCACTAAGCAATGATTTCAAGTTGCACATATTTTAGAGGTTATCTCTTGATCGTTTGGAATTATATCCAGTTGAACACTACTTCTTAACACTATATACTTGTCGTTACACTTTGAAAATATGACAATCAGCTGCTAAATACCAGTGTCCGACTCGGCATAGACAACCAAAGTCAAAAGAACAGTAGTAAGCAGTTATCTCCAGGTGTATAAAGACTTGTAGAGGAATTCGTGGTGAGACTATAGTTTATGGACGAACCAATCAGATTAAAAATAGCAGGTCTTGGATTTTGGCGCAAAACTCGTCCTCATTTAAATAATATTTCGGCATTATAGCTGTCAGCTCGTGATGAAACATTAAGTATTATTCCCAACCTCAAAGTACAACGGTGAATCCTAATCCTAATTCCTCACATTAATCTATAATCCTCACTTAACCGTAGTAGATAGGTGGACATTTCAAGGTCATTTTAGCGCTGCCCAAAGGTCGTCCATAAATTATAATCTCACTGAAATCGTATGCAAATACATAAAAATGTCCTGAAATGTTGCGGAAATGAGAAAAATTCATATCCTTTATTGTTTTGCAGTTTTGTGTACGAGAACTTAAAATATATAGGAACGAAAAATTATCGAATACAAAATTAATCGACCTGCAAGCTTCAGCTTGAAAGTAGTATTCCTACCTAAGAATCCTGGAGTTAAATGTTTATCCCCCGAATTATTCCTACGGCGTACTTCGGAATGAGGAGTAACGAGGTTAATCATCGATCCAAAAACCGGTTTGGGGGTCTTCTTTTCCTGCTTACCAGAAATGACAATATACGTTCTCTTACCTCAACAGCTATAGAAGCAAATGTTAATGGATCAAAACGTTTGAGGATCTGTTGGGCCTTGTTGAACGTCTCCTTTTCCATCACCTCTTCTAACTTGCATTAAAAATAAACACATCTATTAGAACGCACCAATTTTTGTTTATCAGCCCGGAGCTTTTTTAGTTTTTCATCTAGAAACAAATTTACGAAATACTACACAACTAACTCGTCTTATTTACGCGTCTAGTGAACATAATCCGAAAGATATACTTCAGGAAATATACACTAAAAAGTTATTCAGCTTTAAATATGATTACCAAAAAGGATATACAGCAAATATCATACATATCACCACTTTTCCAGTTACTGTACTTGGCCAGTAGTAGTAATAAACTGTTATGAAACTTAAGCCAAAGAATATGAATGAGTAGAAAATCAGTCGGAAAACGAATTGTTTTTCTGAGTCTATACTGTTAGACCGATCACTTTCCAGTTCCAAAATTTCCTAATTACTGATAATTAAATGTCAAAAAACTTACATCATCAATGTCCTCTAGTTGATCAACAATGGACTTTTTGGACCCCTAAAATACTACATATACATTTTATTTCATGAAACCTTGAAGATCCAAAACATGTATTTCTTAGCCCAGCTCATGAGACGACAGCACGATCATGACCTTGACGAGGTTTGACAGAGGCGCTGTCCAAATCTCAAACGTTAGTCTTCAGTGATACAAATAGTAGGTTGGTGGACCTGTGTTAATCCTTGCAGTTTGTTTTCCAATGGATTTCCGGCTTCTCCTTGAAAATATTCACTGATGAGGCTGATATCACTTTTCGGGTAAGGCATTTTAGTCATTGACCACTCCATGAGAAAAACGGAACTTCCCCGTGTTCATTAAGTCGTGGTTCTGAACCTTCTTGCTATGACCTCGAAGATTAGTCCTGAAGGGAGTAAAAATATGAGGTAACTTAATAGTCAAATCGTAATTAAAGATATGGAATGCCAAAATAAGATCATCTCGTGTCCTACCATACGATAGGGGGGAAAGGTTTAGGCGATTTAGGCGTTCATCGTAAAGGAAGTTTAAAAAATACTTTTCAACAATTTTGTCCTCATACACTAAACACGCTCAATTGAGCAACTATGCTTAATAAAAAATGAACCGGATGTTTGGATACAATACTCCAATTTTGGTTCTACATAGGTGGCATATAAAACTGGAAACATCTCATCAAACCATCTGAATGCTCGGCAAAGTAACCATAACTCATGGAAACTTTCGGCAAGTTCTACGCTGCAATGTGTAGTTGCTTTGAAGAGGTGAATTACTATTGCTCTTATGTCTTTATGTTCCTGCACGCATGGAAGTGATGTGTAGAAATTTGTTCTACTTCGTTATTAGTACTGCTTTAAAAATAGACCTGATCCTTGAATTGTAGGTTTGTCACGTTGTAGCTGTCTAATCTATAAGATCTTACGTGGAAGTCACAGCATTGTTTACATTGACTCATCGTATCGTAATAATTACCAATATATAATAGAGAACACATTCAGGCTGGAGATAGGACAGTATATTTAGAATGAGTGAAAACAAATCATACAGAATGACTACTCCTTCAAGGCTGAGCCATACCACCCGATTGGATTCAATTGAGCGAATTCTCCCCGTTCTCTCCATTGATGGGTTTCTTCCTGCATTAAGTGTTGAACATCTATTTTCCCAGTTGTCTCGTGTTCAGCTTTGAGGATTGTGTGTTTAGAGGCCAATGCCACTACACCATTCTCTCACCAGAATCAACGTAACGTTGGCTCGATACCAGATTGAGTAGAATTGTCGCACTTCGGAAGTTTCCAAGTAAAATAGTACTTCGTGTGTTGATAAGCTGAAAGATAAATCAAGAAAAAAGCCTCAGAAACTGATCGAGAAATATTTGTAGTAATTTTAAAATGTTTGATTTTATTCTTAACACTCGAAAAATGGACATTTTGGTGATTATATAGGAGTTTAAGAAAGTGGGGCTATAACAGTCAAGAATGATTTCTTTTATGTATATTTTAATAAATCGTCGTAAGATGCGTTGTAATAGCCGTTGGAAAATAGCTTAATATACAGGTATTTCATGTTTAAAAATATTTAAAACAGCTAATATCGTATATCTCGATAGAACAATGAGAAGACGGAGTTGATCTGAAAAATGTGATGTATTTGCGCTATACATTTCGAACAATCTGGTCACACATATACTTGTCAAGGCATTTTTATATGAAAATTAATAAAGGTCAAACAAACAAATAAAAGTACAACTAAAGTAACTAAGGGGGGAGAAAGAATAAGAAATTGTCGCGTTATCCTAGGCCATAGAATGACTTAAGGATTACCAAGCTAAATTCAAGGTTACGACAAATTGTTTTTGTACACATAAGGGGGGTTTAAATTTACGAATAGCTAAGGCTTCAATAAACTTGAGAATTAGACCTTGACAATTTCTATACAACATTATAAATGCTGTATTAATGTTAATTTTGTGCCCCGTCTCAATTATGTGTTTTGCTATTGATGAACTTGGTTTTCTACCTCCTACATTGATCGGATCATTTGACACACACTGATTTTGAAGCCATCTGGGTACATGTTCATTGACCCTTGATTGCATTGTTCGATTACTCCTCCCTATGTATGTGTGTCCACACAAACATGTAAATTGGTAAATACAATGGGATGTGACGTAATCATCAGTGCATTGTTTGGGTCTATTATGAATCATGGCCTTAGACTTTTCAATCACTACCAACTGAGCAGCATAATACGTATTCTCAATGGCTGCTTTCAATCTGTGCCTTAAAACTATACTGTTTGATTCGCCTCTATATGGTAGATTGATGTAAACCTTTTGCTTTGGCACTGAATAAATTAGAGGCCTTGGCATTAACTGACTTTTACACCTGTTAATAAACTTGAGTGGATAACCATTTGCTATTAAAGTGTCAGTCAGTAACTTTTCGTCTTTTTCCACCATATCAGAGGTACATATTCTTCGAGTCCTCTTAAAGAGGCACTTAACTAGACCTCTCTTGTATTGCAATGGACAGAAACTATGGAAATTTAGGTATTGTCCCGTCCAAGTTGGTTTCCTATACACGGACCGTCTAATAGTGCCATCATCCCTTCGACTTAAAAGTATGTCTAGAAAGGCTAATTGGCCATTACTTTCTGGTTCATGTGTCATCACAATATCATTTTGAACACCATTGAGTTTATCCAGTAATCGGTAAACATCAAAATCCTTATCACATATAATTAGAATATCGTCCATATATCTTCTATATAGAGTTGTCTCACCAATGAGGTCGCTCGTCATATTTTCCACATATGACATGAATACCTCAGCTAAGAGAGGCCCTAAAGGGCTAACCATAGCTACACCATCAACTTGTCGAAAATATTCACCATCAAATGTAAATTGAACATTAGCTGTACATAATAAAAGTAAATCTTTCAAAAATGGTTACGGAATAGGAAAAAGGGGAAAGTTTTTTGAAATATAGTCACAAAGGAAATCCACCGTCTTTGTTAACGGTACATTCGTGAAGAGGGAGTTTACATCAAATGAATGCAAAGATTTATCTTTAATAATAATATCACCAAGGAAGTCAATTAGTTCAAATGTATCTTTTAAAGAGAACTTACATAGATTAGTACGAATAGGGTTTAACAGTTTTACTAACCATTTAGCTAGCTCGTGTGTGGGAGAACCACGCATAGACAAAATTGGTCGTAATGGAATATTAGGTTTATGAATTTTAGGTAATCCATATAAATTCGGGAGAACTGAACCCGAGGGTTTTAGTATATTAAACTCCTCGTTGTTTATGACGTTCATTTTAAGAAGCTTTAATAGATTGGACTTCACTCTGGATTCCAATTTTCTAACATTAATATTAGAAGAAACGTCCTGTAAGAATTTACTTTGATCACCCAGTATAGATAACATTTTGTCTTTATATTCACATTTATTGATAACGACCACCCCAGAACCTTTGTCAGGTCTGAGGATCACAATATCTGACCTACTTTGGAGGTTTTTTAACGCAGCGGAATGTTTAGGAGTCAAGATACTTCTTTGTCTGACTTGAGATCCATGAAAGTGGTGGGCAACGTCAACCAATTTCACCTTTAACCAATTTTTCCTATCCAGGGTGGTTGGGACAAGAGGGTTCAACTGATCATAAAGATTTTCAAATTGAGCATCTATCGACAGATCAGAAATCTTGGTATGTGCAACGGAAAAATTAAATCCGAGTGATAGAGCTTCTTTCTCGAATACAGAAAGCCTAACAGTTGATAAATTTGATACATATTTATCCGGGTTAAATTGAAATAAATTTCCATCATTATCATACATAAGCGATTTACTCAGCTTTTGTTTAGTAGTATGATTTGTTTTACCAACCACAGTACTGCAAAAATTCATAAATTTAATACGACATACAAGAGAGAGATTAGATAATACGCATGATGCCTGAGTATGAAGTTCAATTAGTTTATTCAACATATCATTACATTTTTCCTTATGAGATTTCGCCAGACGCAAAAGATTAGACACATTTGGTTGTAACTTATTAGATCGTAAGACTTTATAGAGATGTCTTGGAAATATGTGTGTACTAATGCAAGTTTTGTAAAACTCCAGTTTTACCTTTTCCGATGCAATTTTGCACTTCAGATTAGCAAGTTCATCTAACCGTTTAGTGCAAGACGAAGGGAGTCTTCTTTTCAAGAATTTAAAGCAATTAGTCCCTTTTATAAATTTCGATAGAACAATGAGAAGACGGAGTTGATCTGAAAAATGTGATGTATTTGCGCTATACATTTCGAACAATTTTTATTGAAAATTTTATTGAAAATAAAAAGAAATGTAATTATTGATAGATTAGAGAAAAAAGCTTTATTCAAAAAAGAATGAAGGTTAATATGGTGGTTGGAGGTAGTCAACAGGAAACCCTGAACCTAGGTTTTGTGCTACTTGGCACTCGTCAGCAATGTATACCTGTAATTTTGAGGGAACTGATGCTCCCTGACGAATTCGATCTCATGTCATCCAGCTGCACAGTCAGAGACGTTAACACTGAACCATCCGAGTAGCACGATACTTAGCTCCAGGGTTTCCTGTTGACTACTTTCAACCACCATCCTATCTCAACATAGTGCACGAAGTGTCGAGTCACCTAGACTGGTGACCACATTGAAATTTGGTCGATAGGATTCGATCTGTACTAAGAAGGACCTGACATACATGACATTGACCACTACCTAGTGACCAATCACCTGTGAAGAATGAAGGTTAATTTGTAGTTGGACGAAAAAAACTATTAAATATTACTTGTATGGAGAAATTTGTAGAGATTGTGGGGCGAGACTATAGTTTATGGACGAACCAGGTAGGTATAAGATAACAGGTCTAGGATTTTGGCGAGAAATCCACCCATCCATTTGGCTAAATAGAATTTTGGCATTATAGCTGATGTCAGTTCATGATCTTATTCCTAACCTTGACCATCAACTGTAAATCATAATTATCATTCCTCACACTGGTTTATAACACTAATTTGGTCTTAGTTAATAGGTAAACATTGTCAAGGTTACTTTAACGTCACTCAAGGTCGTTCATAAATTCTAGTCTCACGGATTGTAGAATTTTCACAGTTTAAC